TTTATCTCTTTGCAAGTGCTTTCATTTCTCTCGCAATTGGGTGGCATTGTCTTTCATTGTGAATTTGCACTTGGGAAATGACCAGGATCGTAACAATATGATGTTAACTTTTATATCTTTTCCAACATTTTGCTCGTCTTTTGGACTCTTCTTTCTTCGCTGAGTGTTCACATTGACAACCCGGGCAATCTCTGTTGCATTCAAAATTCAAATCCATGAGAGTCTGCCTCCGCCGCTTCTTCTTCTTCATTTCATCTTCTTTTTGTATTACATTATTATCTATTATTATTATTATGATTGACATTTATTGTTCTATTGTTTATTGTTACTATATCATTTTAATATTTTCCTAATGTTTGCGGTCAACATATCGACTCTTCTGTTTTGGTGAGGCGTTGCATTCGCAACCCCGCCAACGTATCTCTGCTGCATTCAAGTTCACCCTAGGGGGGGGGGGAGGAAGAGAAAAAGGGCCCCAGTAATAAGAAGCCGTTGTAGGCAAAAAAAAAACATGAAAAAAAAAGAAGAAAAACCCACCCCAGGATCTGCACCTTTATCTGTACGGTGTGTAGGCCGCGCCCCTGGTCGTCCGAGAGCCTGTGGGATGGAATGCCCAGAGTAAGTAATAAGACGGGGGTTAGTGTTCAGACTGAGAACCAGGGCCTGGAAAAAGTCAGCGCAGGCTCAGGAAAGTCAACAGTCAGGGTCTACCTGGGCAACAGACTCAGTAGTCAAACAGTTCTCCAGAATTCAATCACGTCGGCAGATCACATTCCAATTTAAAGGCTCAGATAGTTCTCAGAAGTATCCGGGGCCTACTTGATCGAGGCAACCTCAGGTTGCACATTCGGGCCAAGAAGAGGCAGGCTGGACATGTCAAAAGCCTCAAAACAATATGAGTCGGCGTCGTGTCCAATCGCACACATTCTGCCTGGCACATTGTCGCAGAAGCGCAGCTGAGAGCTAGTGCGCAAGTGTTACTGAGGAAGATCAGCAGTCCCAGGAAG